ATGTTCTTCTCCCTGCTCCATTTCCTCCTCACCCCCAAATTCTGCCCCCCCCCCCCCCCCCCAGAGCCTGGGGGAGAAGGGTTTAGGGGAAGAAGGTGGAAGATGTTGTTTCCATAACTGTTAGCATAAGACTCGCACTCTTAGTACTCAAATGACCTTTGTTATGGTAGGAATCAAATTATCAGCTATTGTTTAGAGTCAAATGTGGGTTATTTAAAGAACCCTGTAGAAAACCTCTGCAAGGCCCCTGATGAGGCATTCGGACCCCTGTGTAGCTGATAACTCAGCTTCTGCTCTAGTAATACAAACCTTCCAGCAGTGCGCTGGGACCTGTTACCTAGATGCCTTTGCCAGCATCCATTTGGCCTGTGGACAGCTGGCCATCTGCTCCAGGTGTTGCCGCCATGCCCATGCCAGCCTCCTTTTGCAGGCTACACAGTGGTCATGGTTAGGCACCAGCTCTGTGCCTCTACCATGCAGATCAGGTCTCCCCAAGAATTTTGGGGGGCACCATTCTGATGGTAGTGGGCATGGACCTGCCATTTCTGCAGCTCAGCATCTCGGCATGTGTAGGACATGTGTATTTTGATGTTGGACTTTCCTCCTGGGAACAACTCCCATGTATCAGTCGTTCTCTTGAGGTCCATCTTCACCCCATTCCTCATAGGGAGGGGTAGAGAATATCATATTACTCAAAACTGTTTTGAATTTCATTCCAGAATTCTCCCTAATGAATATGCATATGGCTTTCATGTGGGCTGATGGCCATGAAGACTCATCAGTTTGATCACTGCTTAAGCAACAATATGTTGAGACCCTTGCTTTGAAATATAAGGCACAGAGCACCCACGGAACTTGTCTTCTGAAGCTTTATTCATAATTCTGAGCAACAAAGCAGTCCATTACACATACTATAAATTTGGATGAGTAGCAAAAACAAGGATGGGCTATTTTTTTTTCATTGAAGTAACATTGGTTTACAATACTATAAATGATTTAGAGGTATAGGATCACAGCCCTTCTGGTTTATGTTACCCCACCACACCCATAGTCCTCCGCCGGAGTCCATTGTGTCCTTCCGCACTCTATTCTGGCCTCCTCTCCTAACCCGTCTGGTAGGCTCAATTGACAGAAAATGATTGACTTTAAAAATATAACCTCGGGCCCTCCCTGGTGGCGCAGCGGGTTAAAGCACTGCACTAAGAAGCTAAAGCCACTTCCGCATGAGTTCGATTCCTGCCTGCCCCGGAGGAGATCCACATGGCGTGGCAGACCTCTCCTGACCCGCCCACTGCTCCCCTCAGCAGTGTACTTTGTAGATCTGCCTGTTCTGCTCCCCACTCTGTCTCTGGTGAATCCTCTCACCCTCCGCATCTCTGGCCTGTACCCCAGTTCTGTATGAATAAATAAATAAATCTTTAAAAATATATATATATAACCTCATCAGTTGGTGGAGTAGAAAGTAAACTGTAGTTTCTTTTAGTCCCTATTACTGATAGATGCCAGTGGCTACAAACATTTTTCTAACTCTGAGTTTCTTGTCCCACACCTGGCTGCTCTGTCCTGTCCATCTTTCCAGATGTCCATGAAACTATTTCTCACACCCACTCCCAAATGTAGAACCCCATGTTGGATCCCTTAGGAAATTTCCCATAGATCTATTCTTACAGGCTCAGAAGAATAACACACATGTATTTTAACAAAGACCTTCTGGGATGCCTTTTCTACAAATGGTGAAACTTTCTAACCCAAAAGGAGACTGATGGAGAAGATGACAATGAGGCTTATCTAACTCTAGCTCTATCAATATCATGGGTCCCTGAGACAATGTCTTCTACATAATCAACGCTATTGGCTTGAATACTGATTGATATTCTTCCCTGTTTCTAACACATGTTATTACCACACGCCTCTCCATCTGTAATCACATAAATAAGTGTTTTAAATGGTGGCATAATTTTCCACAGATCTGTATGAAAAAAAGGCTGAGTTGAAGCTAAGATTCAATTAGTTCTATTTTTATTATTTCCACATGCAAAGCAGGTAGGAAGAAATGGTGGTAGTTTTAGGTGAAAAGTATCTTTTTCCTCAGACTTTCTCAAAAAGTGGATTCTCACCAGAATACAGGTGACAATCCCTTCTGGGGATAACATTCTGTTGGTTACTTGAGAACCAATCAACCATCCCACCCCACTCCCATCTTTAAAAAATGCTTTTGTGACCTTTCTAAGGAGAGTCAGGAAGGAATACTTTTTAACAGGTCTTTAGCTTGCATCCATTTCTTTGCAGAGAAAGGGACAGGTCACCTGCCCATGAAAAACATAAGCACCTGCAAATGTGGATTGTGAGGATGTCTGCAGGCCACCAGCAGGAGCAGGTGACTGCCTGGAAACAAAGACCCTGTTTAGAATTCAACAAAGACTGGAAGGACAAGGTTTTTCTTTGTACATCGTTGTTTTTTCCTTCTGCTTCAATGCTGGTTTTTCCCTGGGGCTGGTGGGTTGTCTTGGCAACACATCCTATCAAGCTACAGGTTGGGGTGAAGAAAGTCTGCCTTTCATCCAAACCCTACCTTCAAGCCCTGATCAGCTAATTACTTACCATGGGCACGTTGTCTCTTTTCCTCTTTTCTCTGTATCTCAATTCCCTCATTAGCAAAACAAGTAATACCTGCTTCCACCGTCACACATATAAAAAATCCAAAATGTGTTAAACACAGCTACCAAGATATGTGAAAGTTCTTTAACCCCAGGACCCCTCTCAGTGGTGTGGTGGAGAAGCCACCGGGGCTAGGTGTTAGTGGAGGTGTCTGCTATGCTGGGGCTTAGCTCTTTTCCTGCCACAGGTTTGGTTTGCTGTAGGCTTGAGAACAGAATCCACTCTCTGACCAATGGCCCCTTCAACAGCTGACCCCTCAGTTTCCAGATTATTTTCCAAACTTGTATTTTTTCCCATTTAGAACAGACATCCAGCCTTAAGTGAATTACCACTTAGCATTTAGCCAGTCACCCATCTGTGACTCCCTGACTCGGTTGATTCCTCATACTATAAGAACCATAGACTTTCCAAATATGTAAAGTTGGCCAGAGAAACAACTTCTGGTTTCTTGAGGGATTTCACATTAATATTTGTCTCCCCTACTTATCTAAGAGGTGGAGATCAAGCTTGTCTTACATACAGTTTTATTCTTTGGTCCCATTACAGTGCACATGGTAAGTGCAGTAAATATTTGTTTAAAGAATAAATAAATGATTGGATAGATGGGTGGTGATTCTTTCATGTTGACTCCAGGTGGCTGGCTAAATTCTGGATGTTTGTGCCTCATCCCTGATTGAATCTTGGTTTTAGAATTTTTGATGCTTCATTGAGAAGACATAGTTGAGAAATTGGACATTAGAATCTTGAAGGACCAGAATAGAACTTTAATGCAAACTGGTCCTTTTTACTGAGAAATTTGCTGAATTTGGATTTGTGTATATGCACAAAAGGACATCTGTAAAGGGAAAGGCACTTTCTGGAGAAACTGATTCATAGAGGATCCTGCTCTGAGCCAAAAGGTAAAAATTGCACCTGAACAGACTTATTTCATCAGAAAAATACTATGTTTCAAGGACAAGGTTGGTCTGGGGTATGCTGGCAAAGTTATTATTCTTGTGTTGGTATGTGCGAATTCTTCTTTGAATATCTCAAGGTGCTGGGCTCATGCCACACTGTTTTATCATAATTGAGAGGTTTTCTGGGGCTCCCAGCATAAGCAGAGCAGCCCCATAGCTGAACAGCACCAGAATGGTGGAGGGGGGAGGACAGGGGAGGGGTCTGCGCTCCTCTGCAAGCAACCCAGAATGATCCAAAACTGCAGCAGTGACTTATTTGGGGGACTTGGGTGTTGACCCCTTTACGTGTTCTTCTGTGGGAATTGTCAGTAGGGTTAAAGGTGAGTCTTTTTAAATCATTAAGGGAGTGGGGGACAGGAGGTCACTGCAGAGGTACTGCAGCTGACAGCCAGGTTGATGAGTTAACACAGGTACACTGAGAACTGGCAGTGGTGAGATGCCCTCGCATGCCTGGGGTGGCAAGGAGGTCAGAAAGGGCACAGGAGAGGAGGGCGGGTCATCGCTATCACAGGGACTTATTCGTAGTCACAGCTCCAGCAAGCCTTCTGATACCTGGGTTAAAGATGAAGGGATTTATGATGTGATTTTCATATGATAAGTGACGTTTCTGAGAAGCTACTTATTCTCTATACGTGTATGCTCACACTGGGCAATTCTTGGACACAGGCATGCTGGAGTAACCCTCGGCACCCAGTTTTCCCAGGGCTTCCCTAGCTTGGGCCCTGAAAGTACTGAATTCAAAGCAAACTGAGTGAGGGTGATGGGTGCTCACCCTCCCATCTTCTTACCTTCATGCCGGGAAGACCACGCAGAGCCTCTTAACACAACAAAAGCAATAATATGTTTTCCCACTAGGATATTCAGAATCTACAAAATAGCAAAGACATTTTATTAAGTTCTCTTTCAAATTGTGCCCTGCAGCTAAAAAAAATGGACAAAAAGAGTTCTCTGAGCTATTTTGGGCCAATAACTCATTTTTATTTGCCAAGGCATCTTCTTCAGCTTTTCTGTGTCTGTCTGTCTTTCTGTCTATCCAGTTATGTATCCTCTGTGTATCTATCTCTTTTAATAAACTCCGTACTTTATTTTCTATGATGAATACAGTTTTGCTGTGTTTTCCTTAGCAATAAAAGAATCAATAGTATAAGAAGTTAAAAAAGATATAAATGAAATCTCCAATCAAAAACATGTTTGTTACAAACTATCTTGGATTTTCAATCACAGATTAGAATCATAATATCACTAAGATAGTCAAATCCTTAACAATGGGACAGTGACAAATTTCTCCCACTCCCTGAAGCCAAAAAATATATAAAGTGATGAAAGGTAAGAGAAAGCAGTCTACTGGTGCTGCTTTATTCCAAAGATTCCTTGGCAGAAAGCACCCTAGATGACCTGGTTCCTCGGTCTTGGTGTTAGATGGAAGGAACGGTTGAATTCCTCTGCTGGAACACAGGCTGTAGAGACAGCCATCCAGGGAGAGGACACCTCTTCCTTTTCCAGGCAAATCGAGAAGATGAGAAGTAATCCACCCAGGGCCAAGAGAACACCAGCTGCCCAGCCCACGTAGAGGGCGTCTCCAAATTCCCACCGAGGTACAATCTCAGGAGTGCTGTCATCCCAGAAGTCTTGGATGGTGGCGTGGGCCACCCAGGAAACTGGAAAGAGAGTAGTGACTGATGCTGATGCCTCCAAAGTGCCTCCAAGAAGGCAAAGTCGCCTCTTAAGTACCCATCTGAGCCCGCGAAACTGGAAGTATTCAGACCCAAGCCCAGAGAGCAGAAGCCCCAAAAGTCCCAGCCCATGGGACATCACCATGAGGATACGGGAGACCTGGAGCTCCTGGGGCAGAGACAAGAAGGAGTCAAAGGCCTTGCACACAGTGGCGATTTCCTCCTGATTCACGCAGACCTCCCAGAGACCCATGCTCCAGGTCTCCATCTCGTTCAGTTCCAGATTGAGAGTCTTCCACTGGGGCAGGGTGGTGGTGACACATGAGCAGACCCAGCCCAGGAGGGAGAGGAGAAGGCCCCCCAGCTGGGCTTGTCCACGGAAACTCCAAGCCATGCTAGTGCCCACCGCAGAGGCAGAAAGGAGAGCAGAAAGGGTGGCTTGTGACCGGTGAGGGGAGAGTCCTTCTGGGGAAGCTTGGGTGCAGGGGTTTTAGGCAGCAGCTGTCACAGGTGTTAGGGCTTGGCAGTGTGTGGCTTGAGGGGGTGTGCCCAATAGTGGATGTGGGTGTGGATTCTGGGGGAGGGTCCCAGGAGAGGGAAAAAAAAAAAAAAGGCCAGGTAGTAAGTTTTCAATATGATTTGATGAATCAATTCATAAATCAGGCCTCTGTTCTGAGATGACCAGTGATGTTCTGGAAACATATATGGATATTGTGTCAATGTATATATCAATGTAATAATTCCCCGAGGGCAACAAGACTTTCTGTTTTTATACTTTCAAATATATAATACATGTACTTCTTCTTCTTCTTTTTTTTTTTTCCATGGGGGTGACATTGGATTACAACACTATATGATGCAGGGACTCTCCCCCAGAATCCACATCACCCCCATCACCAGAGCACCCACATCCCTTTATCATTTACTTGGGCTCCCTGTCCACTTTACGCCCTCTATCCCCCTCCAGTAGCCTCAATTATGCAGTCTTATGCTTAGGTTTTGTTTTATTTGACTTTTGTTAGTTCCTTGTTCAATTCCTCTGTATTCCACATACGAATGGGATTATGGCTCTTGTCTTTTGGTACCTGGATTATTTCACTAAGCCCCTCCAGTTCCATCCATGTTACAACTGGCAAGAGTTCCATTTTTTGGATAGCTGGATATATTCGATAGCTGTATGTACCGCATCTTCTTAATCCCTGCATCAGTTGTTGGGAATTTAGGTTGTTTCTGTAACTTGACTATTCTAAATAGTGCTGCAGAGAACACAGGAGTGCTTATATCCCTTCGAATTAATTTTTTTGGCATTCTTTTGATAAACAACAATAGAATTAATGGATCTCCTGGTAGATGTTTTTAATATTTTGAGAAACCTCATTATTTTTCACAGAGGCTGGACCAGGCTACTTTCCCAGCGACAGTATAGAGGCGGGTGTAGGTTCATTTTTCTGTATGTGACTGACCAGGTTTCCCAGCACCATTTGTTGAAGAGACTTTTCCTTTCTCCATTGTATACGCTTGACTCCTTTGTTGTAGATTAACTCTCCATATAAATGTAGCTTTATTTCTAGGCATTCAATTCTATTCCATTAATCTGTGTGTCTGTTTTTAATTCCAATACCACACTGTTTTAATTACTCTGTAATAGAGTTTGAAGTCTAGAGCATTATAGCTCCACTCCTTTTCTTTTTGTTAAAATGCTTTGCCTACTCAGGTCTCTTGTGGGTTCCATATAAATTTCAGTAATGTTTTCTCTACTTCTTTAAAGAATTCCATTGGAATTCTGATAGGGATTTCACTGAATCTCTAAGTTGCTTTGGGTCATATGGACATTTTGACTATGTTAATTTTTTTTAGTTCATAAAATAACACACACACTTTGCCCCAGTGACCTATCCCCAACAACTTACCCTAATTTATCATCAGTAGATCTAAAATTTTATGAAAATGTCTATTGATAATATTGTTAATAATTGTACATTCTGGTTAGTACTAAGCAGCCATTTTAAAGTAGTCTAGTATAGATAGAATAAATTTAAGTGATAGGAAGCTATTTTTGACACTTTAAGTGAAAAAGTAGGAAGGTGAACAATATAGAGAGTACAAAATTTCATTTTCATAAAAAAGTAATTACAGTTTTATAAATATAAATCATATACCACAAAACATTGACCATGGTTATTTTAGTGGTATGATTATAGATGGTTCTTACTTTCATATTGTACTTATTTATATATTTTATAAATTTTACAAATTTATCATCTAGTCTGTAAGCAAGTGACAACCCCCAACTCAAGGAACCTATCCAGACCCAGAATATAGCAAGAGGGACACATTCCCTCTTCAGGTCTAAGTTGCTCTGGTGACAGCTATAAATAGAGCGTAACCATACCAGCTCCCTTTCAAGAAACAGGTTCTGACAAGAAAGTAAATAAGTGTTAGGTTTTTGGCTAGCTACTGTATTCTTATTTAATTTTTACATCATCACTATAAAATGTACAATAAGTAACTTGTCAGGGTTCCCCAGCTGGTATGCAAGAGATTCAACTCCTAGGGCAAGTAACTCTGTGATATTTCCTGTTCTTTCTCTTCAGACTGCCACAGTGATTCTTCCAACACTACTCCTACACTCTGATGGCACTGTGTTCTGGGGAAGGTTAATCTGGATGCACATCAAGAAGAAAATGGGAATTCTTCTGCTTCTTATGCTGAGCATCAATGTTTGAACAACATATCCCCTGTTGATATTTTAATCTAATGCTTACCCGAGGCTCCACTTCAAAGTGAAAGCAGAGTCTTGGGAAGCATTTGAGAAATATCTATCTTGACTTGAGCTGAGTAAGTTTAACACGTCGTAAGCAGCCTGATTAAATGGTTAGTGGTGACTGCTGGAAAGAGGCAAGCAGAATCATCTGGAAAACTCCTTTTTTCTTTCATGTTTTAGTATAAAATTTTTAAAATAATAATATAATAGTTTATTTTTACACCACTTTGTGCCTTTTTCCATCTCAGTTGTAATCCCCGTGGGCTTCCCACCACCAATTCACCGGTGTGGCATCACCATAGTTCAGTACACTTCCCCTCCCCCTCATTTTTGATCCCATTTCCCACTCCACCCCCATAAAATGTCTCTGGTAAATGGTTGTTCATTATTATTATTATTTTTTCCCCTGGTCCCTTATAAAAAATTTAAACATTTACAAAAGTAGAGCAAATGGTACAAAGAAATCTCATGGTCCATTGTCCAGTTTCAAAAATCACCCACTCTGTCAGTCTTGCTTCATCCATGCCCATACCCACCAATCACCACTCCTCCTTTCATATTATATTGAAGCTGCTTTTGTAACCACCACATGTTCTAATCAACAAAATATGATGCACTTGAGGAATGTTGTCTGTTTATACTACATCCAGCCAAAGTTTGACATTTGGCTTCCTGAATATAGGTTATGTTATGTGTGTGTGGCCCCTACAGAAGGAATCCTTGATGCTTATTTCCTTGCTTTTCTTGATGATTTGTGGAAATGTACAAGTCAGGACACATATAAATCACAAGTGTGAATTATGAGGAAGGATAGGTTATAGAGAGAAAATAGTTCCCACTCCTTTAATTTTGCTTTATTTTGACAAGTGTCCATGTATGCCTTCATGGATTTACTGTCTGGGAATAGAAAACTCACCCCACTCCCAATGCCCTATCTTCTCCTTTCTCAACCTATTTCTGGTTCTCTCAGCTTTTTCTGGAATCATGAGGAACATCTGTTAGCCTACCCTAGGGAGAGGTAGGGGTCCTGCAGTTGTATTTGTGGGTATGCATAGATATGTTTTCTGGAGGAAAATTCCAGAATGTCAACCTCAAAGCTTCTCTTTCTTTTACTCCTAGTTCAGTTTCCTCCTTATTGTGAACTTCCCTGATCCAGTGAAAGACAGGGTGCTCCTCACCCAAAATTTTCCCCACCCTTTACAGCTTCCTCAGAGCTTCAGGGTCAGTTTCTCCACAAGCATTTTCTGAGGATTGTACATTTTTGTATTCATTATTTACTATTATTTATTTAGTATATTTTTCCTCCCAGCAACTGCGTAAGATTTAAGCATCATAAAATCTGGATTTATCCCTCATTTACTTCCAAAGTAGTTGAAAGACCAACTGATGCCATGACAGCCTTCAGAATGCTTCTAAACCAGCCAGGTCTAAGTTTCGGTTATCAACAAGGCGCCAAGGCCAAATTTAACTGTAAATGTCCTAATCTTGTTCATCCCATAGCAACAGCCAATTGGCAAGTAGGCAAGTAACCAGTACATATCAGAAAAAACCCCAGATGTCCTAAGGTATGTGGGCGGAGTAGTGAAGGTCACATCTCACATACATAGATCAACCGGCTTAAGACAAGATAACTTTGTTCAATGTCCACCAATCAATGTACTGCTGAGCAAAAACTCCCCTCTGCAGGGCTAAAACTCCCCTCTTCTGTAATTAAAAACCTGGCCTTCCCTGAGCTCAGGGCTCTCGACTTTGGCTACTGTACGGCTGCATGTTGGGAGCCCAGGCTCCAGCTTGCAATAAAGACCCTCATGTGCTTTGCATCGGAATCGTCTCCTTGGTGGTCTTTGAGAAACTCGTAACCTGGCACAATGGTAGTAATTATTATATTTTTCCTGGGATGATTTTTTCCCCTTATTTTTGATTCCCTAGCACAGTGTTTGTAATGCGGTACTTGCTAACACAAATTTCCAGGAATTTCATCTGCAGGTCCTTCTTTCTCACCAGGCATTTATTATTAATTGCATTTACAATTCAAAGTGAGCCAACAGGCCTACATGCAGAAGTTATTTGTTTTTCTAGGGACAGGTGCTTCCCAGGATGTTTTGGCTAATCTTTGTGCTTCTAGCTCAACTCCACAGTTTCAATTTCTTTGCACTTGCTAGAGGAAACTGCCTTCACCTCAGGGAGATAAACAGATTGCTCCCCAGACACTTAAAATTGACAAAGACCTTAGGATCAGTGTTAACTTGGGCTCCACTTACAAGATACTTTTCAAAAAACTTAAGAAAACCTTTGAAGGAAAGCACTACATGTTTATTACAGAAAAATAGAAAAACACAGGAAAAGAGAATAAATAGCTTAGGTCCACCACTCCTTTGATTTACATCCATTACCTCTATGTACCTGACAGCCATTTTCAGAAAAGAATCAAAAGTACGTAATACATTTAAATAATAAAGCTTTTAGAAAGTTTTCCATAAGATTGATTTGTAATATCTGCTCTAGTGCAAAGTATCTAGTGCAAAGATCTAGTCCACACTGTGTTATTATTTATACCTAGGTAATACTATAAACAGTATAAACGTATGTTTTACATAGATGTATGTGTAATTATACACATATGGTTTGTAATATTCTTACATAGATGTAATGTAAACTACGCAATATAAAAGGAATCCAGTAATAGTTTTTTATGAGGTGACACCACTTAGTTGCACAACTTCCTAGGGCACTATTCATATAGACCAATGGCCACTGGGCGCCAATGTGAGTGACTATTTAACCAAAAAAGATAGAGCGAGTCCGTCGGGTTTTCCGGTTAAATAAACTATAGATAAATGTTTTGAAGTTGAGAGAGATTTAGTGAAGACTGGTTATTAAATAACAACTTCTCATTCCTTCTAGTGAAAAACGGGCGGGAAAAGAAAAGCCATTAAAAAAAAAAAAAAAAAAACTGAAGGGGAAAACGCGTTCCCGCATAGTTTGCCATCTACGGGACGCCGTGGAAATTCTACGCCAGGTTCGTCGCCGTGTCTGCTGGGAGTTGTAGTTCAGCCCACGGCTTCGCGGCTGTGATCTGGGAGGCGCGAGACTCCGTTTCCCGGCAGGCCAGGCGCCAAGGCCGCCGGCGGGACTGGAGTTGCCGCGCTGGCTTTTAGAGAGTGACTGTCAGGTTTGGTTTCTGTGGTCGCGATGGCCTCGTTCGTCACGGAAGTTTTGGCACACTCGGGGAGGCTGGAGAAGGAGGATCTGGGCACCCAGATCAGCCGCCTAACGCGGCAGGTGGAGGAGATCAAGGTGAGGGCGGAGCAGGTGTTGACTGGAAAGAGAAACCGGCTCGGTGTGTGAAGGGGACAGAAGGCGAGAGGGACTGAGGAGGAGCGAATACGAGTGGCCCTGGTGGGAATACGGGGCTGCGGAGACCAGGAGACCTGGGAGAGTGCGGGGGAAGAGGCGGTGACTCGGGAGTGCTGGGGAGTAGGGTTTGGCGGGAGAGGACCGCGGTGGGGGAACGCGCTGGAAAACTGAGGAGACCAGCGGAGCAAGGGAGGCAGGTCTGGACGCCCCTAAGTTTCTAGGGCGGGAACTGTGTGAGCGGTAGAAATGAAGACAGGCCCCCTCTCTGTGTTTCTCTTCTGCCGCTCCTCTTTGTGGATTTGTTGATGAATATTGTTAAAAACAAAGCAAAATAAAACAAACAGCAGCCGCCAGTGGACGCGCTTGTGTTAAGTCCACCTCTGCCTAACGCCTAACCTACCTGCAGCTTCCTCTCCCCCAGGATGCAAACTTGGCAGGTCAGTATCGACTTTCCTGTTCAGCATCATTGAAACAACTTTTCCCATTTCCCAAAGGACGGTGAGAATCTGCTACAAAACCTTTTTCTTTTCCCCATGTATAGTTTACCTAAGCCTGAATCACCTTATCCCGTATCGTGCCCTCTCTCTGCCTCTAAAAACTCTGATTCTGTAAAGCTTTTGGAGTTCTCTTCCTTTTGCTAGAAGAGATGCTGCCAACTCATGATTCGTTCAGTAAAGCCGATTAGGTCTTTAAATAAACTCGGTTGGATTTTTGCCATTTAATAGGTTTAGTGGCAGCAACTGATCTCAAGTAAATTTCTGATGGCATTTGGGAACAACAGGAAACACAGGCATGATACCTGCGAATCTCTTTGCAGTTCACTCTCTGTTTCTGACTGTTTCTGAGGACCATGGGGAAGTTCTTGGTTCTGAGCTCCGATCTCTGCATTGAGTTCTTGACCTAATTGGTTTTTCAGTACTGGGCAGGTTAGTTTGAATTATTAGAAGGTTTTACGTGAGCCAGTTCCTGACTCTCCGCTGAATTACACAACAGGGAATTAGGAAGGATTTAGGATTCACCTTCTTCGTCAGATCTGTACTCTGGTTACCAGTAAATACAAATGAATATTTAGTCAGAAACCTCCCTTAACTTGTAAGAATATTGCTGATTATATTGTTGCTAAGATTGTTTCTAACCAGCATCCTCAGACTTGCTGATTAAAGTTGTCTTGGTAATAGGAAACTTGATTATCTTTTAGCAGTTTAGAGGAGTCTGCTGTGGCCAGCACCTACTACACTTGGCTTAACATTTCCGGGGAAGTTGGAATTCAGACATAAGATCACGAACAAGCCATTTGGCTAAAAGAGTGACTCCTTTCATGGGCTCTTTCTTATTTGGTTTTAGGTGATTAAGTCTTGGGGCCCATGGCTTGGATGTATACTCCAAGCATTAGGAATTATCCTGCATAATTATTACAGTCATAAACTTCCTGGTATGTTGTATTCTTTTAAGCTTTAAAGGAGTGTTTGCTAACCACCAAGCAAATGATCTTCTTAAGAATACACCATCAGGAGAGAATGGTCAGCTGAAAGATTGTGAGCCTGAAGCTGTGACCTGAGACTATCACAGGGGCAGAATGAAAACATGACCTATGGAGACCACACAAAAGAACATCAAAACTGCAACAAACTTTAAATACTCATCTCATTGAAGTTTTTCCATTTTATGCTATAGGGTGAAGTATGCACTTTGATCAGCAAGAAGTATAGTGAATTCTTGCCTAGCATGCAGAGTGCACAGGACCTGGTTACACAGGTGGATAAACTGTCTGATGACATTGACCTTTTGAAGTCCAGGATCGAGAGAGAGGTAAGAAGAGTTTGTTATATTGGGTAGGTTTGTTGGGGAGGCAGTTTAACTTCTTGATTCCTAAAAAAATTCTGTTCTGTAGAACGTGAAGACCTACCTCAGTTACCTTATTGGTAAATTGAAGTTGAACTAGATGATTTTAGGGTGACTTCTAACTTCAAGATAGAAATACTTTGTATGACTATAATTTAAGCAATTTCTTTTCTTTTAAAGATTTATTTATTTGTGCATACAGAACTGGGGTACAGGCCAGAGGTTTGTGGTGGTGAGAGGCTTCATCAGAGACAGAGCGGGGAGCAGGACTGGCAGATCAAAGAGGGTACACTGCTGAGGGGAGTAGCAGGCCGGTCAGGAGAGGTCTGCTGCGCCCTTTGGATCTCCTTCAGGGCAGGTGGGAATGGAATCCCTGCGGAAGTGGCTTAATCTCTTTAGTGCTGTGCTTTTGACCTGCTGCCCCTCCCGCCTCCCGGGAGGGCCACAATTTCTTTTTTATGGCAAACTTAAAGTTAAAGTAGTGTCATGCATTTGGTAGTACTTTACAGTTGCTTTAGTATTTTGTTTTCATGATCAAAACAGATGATGCCTGAGGTAGGGTCGTTTGATCTTTTCTCTGGTCTCCTAATTTCAAGTGTTTGTATTTCTTAATTTGTTCATTAGTATTCATTAATATCTGCAGTTCTCATTCAATCTTCTGCACAATCTTTGTCTTCTGGCTTTTCCTGGGAAAAATGGACTTTGTTTACTTTTCATTACTCTACTTCACAAAGCCACTTTCCCTGGGCCTCCAGGAAATCCTTGCTGTAGTCTACAGTGTCACTCTGGTATGAGTACCTGCTGTATTTGTTATATACTGCATTTCTTTATATAAGAAATACTCCATGTTTACGTGCGTGCTGTCATTACAGAGAGAAGCCTGTCTGGAAACAGTCTTTATTTTAGAAACATTTTTCATATTCATTATCTTATCAAGATTTCCCTTTATACTTCTCTTTAGGAAAAATAGGTAGTTGGCAGAGCAAATGTCCAATTGAAGTGTCTTCTATATCTTCTACATCTAAATTATTGCTCATATGATCACATAAAATGTGAGGGAGCCTGGAACAGAGTTTCGTTCAGTAGCCACTTGCTGTGGAAGGATGGGGCATGGACTTAGGATTTAGTGGGCCACAGTCCTCCATCCATACACACGTCTGGATGTTTGAAAATGATGTGGGCTTGAGGTGGCAACATTTAGATATTGAACCGTGGGCATAGAGGAGATTGCACAGAGTATGTTTTTAGAGTAGCATTTCTCAGTCTCAACTCTCTGATATTTGGGGCTGAATAATTCTTTGTTGTTGGAGATGATCTTGTACATTATAGGATGTCTAGCAGTATCCCTGACCTCTGCTCTCTAGATGCCTCTAGAACACCTTCATTTGTGACAACTCATTGTCTTCCAAACATTGCAAAATATCCCTGATTGGGGTGGGACAGAAAAAAATAGTTCATTTTTTGAGACCCACAGCTTCAGAGCAAGGAGACAGCCAGGGAGAAAGGAATATCAACATGTATGAAGTGATCAAAGGGAAGATGAAATTCCCTAGAGAAAATGAAAAAGCATGGCTAGAGAATTAGGATGAAAATCACTAGAGAATATTGTCATGGAAACAAGGGAAGGAAAGTGTACTGATGAAAAGTTCAATACTGACTGTGTATGCTTTGGATTTGGCAATAAGGAGTTGACTAGTGTTTCTGGCACCAGCTGTTGTGGGGTAGTTTCAGCAGAATGGTAAAGGTAGAAACCAAGTCAAGATGAGCTTCTTTAGTGCAGAAGAAGTGAGAATGTAAAGACAGTGAGTATGGATCACTCTTGAAAGAAGCTTATTTATCAGAAATAAGGTGACTACTGAGAAATGGGTGGTCGCTGAGGTGGAAGAAATTTTTTTTAAAATAGGGGAAATAATACTGTATTTAAGTCTGATGGGAGGAGCCATGCTGTGGTAGGTATTCGGTAAATGTGTATTTCATGAATGAAGTATAAATTGGATAGAGGTAAGAAATACAGGAAAGATGAAATAATTGATAGTATAAATTTTCTGAGAAGTTGGGACAGAATGGAAGATACTGAATCAAGATAAGAAAGCTATAATAGAGTGATCAGCGATGGTGATATAACATGGTAATGAGAGTTCCCTTTAGTAATCCAGGTGGATGAACTCTGATGAATGGTAACTTCTTAAATCAAGAACTAATGGATGCATGAGGATATTTAAGTTAATGGAAAGAGGTATTCCAGGAATGTGGGGTTAAGATTTGGACTAAGGGGACTTAAGTAAGATCTCTTCCTATCACATTCTGTGATTTTTATTCCAATCCTGGCATTTAAATTTCAACATAAATTATATTAACTCAGTGATTCTTACTAGTGAGCATAAGTGTTTTACTTTTTAGGTACAATATAGTTTAAAACTACTTGTTTGTTATATGAATTAGGTCCGCAGAGATCTTCATGTATCAACTGCTGAATTTACAGACTTGAAGCACCAGTTGGAAAGAGACTCAGTAGTCCTAAGTTTGCTTAAACAGCTACAAGAGGTCAGTAACTTCCACTCTGCTTTTACTGTTTTGGTGGTGAGAATGTTTTTTTCCTCCCAAATAGTCTTGTTATTAAGTGGATATTCCTTGACTATTTGGTATTTTTTCAGGTTTGAAAACAAAACAAGGAGTCAGATTTGAAATTATAGGATGTATAGAATAAAATACTTAATAACTATACTTATCTTTTCAGTTTTCTACTGCTATTGAAGAGTATAATTGTGCATTAACAGAGAAGAAGTATGTCTCTGCTGCTCAGCATCTAGAAGAGGTATTAAACTTTCTCCAAGGCATGAATAATTAGTACTATTCTTGTTTAGTGAATTTTGTGTTCCATGTATTCTTTGTTGTTATACAAATATATTCTAATTGCCCTGAGTCCAGAGGGAATGTTTAACAGTGATTCTTTCGCCTCCAGGCACAGAAATGCTTGAAGTTAATAAAATCTAGAAAATGCTTTGATTTAAAAATCTTGAAATCTCTCAGCATGGAGTTCACAATACAGAAACAGAACATACTTTATCACCTTGGAGAAGAGTGGCAAAAACTGATTGTGTGGAAGTTCCCACCATCAAAAGGTACTGCTGACCTCTAGTGGACTTTTTGCTTCATCTGTGAACCCATTTGGCTTTTGAATATATGCTAAAAAGTTTATGTTGCTAGATGAGAAAGTTTCACTTGTTAATCTTCCGAGTCTAGATTGAGTTCTCATGTTAAGTAAAATTTGTGTTAGGAGTACCTTATCTGAGTCCTAAAGCGTCCTTATTTCCTTGACATCTGTCTGGTGAGTGTGTCCATAAGATAGAGGTGGTAATGATTTTAGACCACACAGTTTCCATTCTACTGTAGCATGTTCCCAGTCCTAATTCCAAGAGTTTATCCTGGCTAGCGAGCTTATTTAATAAAGCTGCTCTTAGCTTGTCTCTCTCTTGTTGAGACAGAAGATTGGTGGCTAATGTGATAGTGGTTTGGTTCAGTTTTTTTTTTCAGTCCTTGGAGAAAATGGTGATAAATGATGAAATGGGGGTGCTTTGCCAGTTGAAGAAGTAGGATCCTGATTTTGAATTATACTCCTAGGCTCTAAGCGACTCTGCCCACCTGAGTTTGAGCCCTCCTCATACTCTATTTATTCAAAAATAAAACCTCAGAGGATGTCTGTAAAGACAAGTCATGCATTCATATGTTTTCCCACACTGAGTTGTTGGTTTTTCACTGTTTGAGTGAAAAACCTCATAGTCCCGCCTGCCCCCACCTTTCCCACATCCACTTTGGCCTTTAAATAAGTTAAATATGCATATGTGTACACAACATACACCTGTATGTATTTTAGGTATTTGAAGAAAATACTATTTAGTAATTACTTCAATTAGATTATAAGGTGAAGAGAAGATAATAGGTATATTAATTCTTCGACATAACATACCCTTCCTGATAAACTTGCTTGGCAAGTTTCTCTTTAATTGGTGAGGAAGCCTTAAGTGCAACAGGGATCTCACTTTCTTATCCTTCCTTGTCTTCAGTCAGTCATCTCATTTTTAGCAAACATTATTTTAGGCATTATGTTGCTTTTGCACTTATATGATTCTCTGAAGATGAGGAAAAAAGTCTTTATTTGAAAGTGCTGCCAAGGGACATGCATGTAATTAGTATTTAGATGCCCTGGGAGTGTAATGCAGTAACACTGCATGTGTGGGACTCTCAGTAGGGACTGGACTCTGAGGAATAGAAGTTAGAACATCATGTTTTTCTGAGAGCTGATATTTCCCTCCTTTTCTTAGATACCAACAACTTGGAATCTTGCCTACAAACAGAACTTCATTTATGTACAGAACAACCTCAGAAAGAAGAGAAGACCCCAGTGCCTCCAATTAGTTCTGTCCTCTTGGCATTTTCTATTCTTGGAGAGCTACATACCAAGCTTAAATCATTTGGTAAGACCTACTACTTGTTTCATTTACCTAAAGTCTCAGAAGGTCTGTGTTAAGGAATACAGAAGCAATTATAAAACATTCTCTGGATGTTTTCAGTGACAGATCTAGGGCTTGACATCATGACCCATCAAATGCAATTGTGATAAGTATAACCCTTTTATTATGGTCTTGAATTATTTTCTATCTTTGTAAACTAGCTTCTGCTATTGACTGTGTTTGATTTTTGAATTATTTAAATAAAAATTTCCAGACAATGGCCCTCCCTGGTGGTGCAGCGGGTTAAAGCACAGCACTAAGAAGCTTAAGCCACTTCCGCATGAGTTTGATCCCCGCCTGCCCCGGAGGTGACCACATGGCGTGGCAGACCTCTCCTGGCCTGCCCCCTGCTCCCCTCAGCAGTGTACTTCGTCGCTCTGCCTGTTCTGCTCCCACTCTGTCTCTGGTGAATCCTCTCACCCTCCGCATCTCTGGCCTGTACCTAGTTCTGTATGAATAAATAAATCTTTAAAAAAAAAATTAAAAAAAAAATTTTTCCAGACAAGACCTGTGCAACTTTGGTGAGAAAACTTACAGCACATTATGGGTGATGTGCAATGTCATGGTTTCTGTATTTTGTTGTTTGGTGGAGGGGTTTTTCCCCCTTTTTGGCATGCTTTTAAAAGTTTCTTGTGCTGGAATTTGATGAGCGTTTATGTAATTTTTCAGGTCAAATGCTGCTGAAGTATATCCTTAGGCCTCTGACATCTTGCCCATCCCTTTATGCTGTGATAGAATCCCAGCCCAACATCATTATCATTCGCTTTGAATCTGTGATGACTGACTTAGAACATCCACCACCATCTGAAGTATTTTCAAAGATCAGACTGGTATTGGAAATGCTGCAGAAGCAACTTCTAGGTATGTATCCTTAAGGCAGTGCTTTTAGATTTTGGAAAAGTCATTTTTTGTAAAGGTGGTAAGAACACCCATAGTCTTTGAGTGAATGGACTGCCATACACTGTAGCAGTGCAGTTTATTGCTGTTTTGCTCTAATTTCTGCTGTCTGATGACAGGTATGGTCTTCAGTGGTGCTCCAGGTTCAGGATTTGTAATATATACTTGCATTCTAGGATGCTTATTTCTTTCTGGACTTCTAGTCACATCACATTTTGGGAATTGTGCTTTTGTGATAGGAGAAACAGAAATGAGCCAACTGTGCTTTTACACATTTCATTGGGAAACCCCCATTAACCTGATGTAAACTAGGTTTAACATAGGTTTAACACTACACTAAACTAGGTTTAACACTACAACTCAGGCTTTTGGCTAAATGTTTGTGTATTCACACTTAAAATAGCCAGTTTCTGTTTTTCTGAAATCTTTTTTTTTTTGATTGTCATACTATTAAAAATAATGTTTTTTTTTTTTTTCTTTCTGTCTGCCTGCCTATCATCTACATACGTATCTATCTTTCTTTTTTTTGGTCTATTTGACTTACCTTTTTCTTTTCTTAATTTATTGAGTAGTCAAATCAAACATTCTTGCTGAGAAAATAAAGAAATATTCTGGTAGTTGTATAGTTCTTTTGACATGTAAATCATTTATATGTAAAGCAAAAATTTTTCTAGTTTTGATAGCAGAGAAGAAAAAAATTCTTGAGACTTGCATAAACTGCAAAAATCCAAGATCATTTTTCCCCCCTTTATTTGGGGAAATGATACACTTTTATTTTCGTTAGACAGAAACAAAATTATAAAGTTTCCCGAGTTTGGAAGGAACCAGAAAATATTTGCAATTCACATGTCTTTGATGCTTGACTCTTCTTGGTAACACTCCTATTTTGTCCACAATCCCCTACCCTCCAGCCCCCTCATAAGGAAATAACTTGCCTGGGAAAGGTGTTGAATTAGCTTCCTCTTATCTACTGCTACACAGCCCCACAGCTGGTTTTCAGGTAGTTGGGTGGGTGGGCATGAGAAGGGAGGAAAGGCTCCATGCCCAGAGGGGAGCTGAAGGGCAGGCGGTCAGGATGGTTGATCACGTAATAAATAATATATCTGTAGTGAGAGGAATGTCCTCTTGAGGCTGTCCGTACTGCCGCTGGCAATTCTGAGTACTTTGAAATTTTTGTGTATCTCCTGGATATATTAAATCATAGTACCAAAGTGCTCATTTTTTTTTTAAAGATTTATTTATTTATGCATACAGAACTGGGGTACAGGCCAGAGGCTCGGGGCGGTGAGAGGCTTCACCAGAGACAGAGTGGGGAGCAGAACAGGCAGATC